CTTTTCTCCACGTCCTCACCAACACTTGTTTGTTGATGTGTTGATGATAGCCATTCTGACAGGCATGAGATGATTTCTTGTGGTTTTTGTATCTCTGATTATTAGGGACGTTGAGCATCTGTTTCATGTGTCTGTTGGCCATCTGTATGTCCTCTTTGAAGAGGTGTCTATTCAGGTCCTTGGCCCATTTTTCAATTGGATTATTTGTTTTGTTGGTGTTAAGATGTATAAGTTCTTTATATGTTTTGGATAGTAACACCTTATCAGATGTATCATTGGTGAACATGTTCTCCCATTCAATGCCTTTCCTCTTTTTTTTTTTTTTTTATCCTCACCTGAGGACATTTTTTCGTTTTTTGTTAAGATAGAGTGGGAGGGAGAGAGAGAGACAAACATCAATGTGAAAGGGACATATCAAGTGGCTGCCACCCACACGACCCAACCAGGGCCAGGGACAAACAGCAGCTGAGGTACATGCCCTTAGTAGGAACCGAACCCTGGTCTCTCTGGACCACAGGCTGATGCTCTAATTACTGAGTTAGACCGGCCAGGACTTTTCTCATTTTTAGTTGGATTTTTATGTTGAATTGTATGCGTTTATAAATTTTGCATATTAATCCCTTGTCAAATATGTCATTGGTCAATATATTCTCCTATTCTGTAGATTGTCTTTTAATTTTTTTGGTGGTTTTCTTTGCTGTGCAAAAAGGTTTTAGTTTCATATAGTCCCATTTGTTTATTTTTTCTTTTGTTTCCCTTGCAAGAAGAGATGTATCAGAAAAAATATTACTAAGAGAAATGTCCAGTTACTAAGAGACAATATTCATGTCTATGTTTTCTTCTAGGATTTTTGTCTTATCAAGTCTTACATTTAAGGCTTTAATCCATTTATTTCTTGTTTATGGAGTTTATTCTTCTATATGATGTAAGAAGGTGGTATAGTTTCTTGGTTGTTTTTTTTTCTTGCATGTATCTGTCCAATTTTCCCAGCACCATTTATTGAAGAGACTATCTTTACCCCATTTTGTGTTCTTGCCTCCTTTGTCAAGTATTAATTGACCATATAGGCATAGGTTTATTTCTGGGCTCTCTATTGTTTCATGGATCTAGTGTTTAATAAAGTTAGTGTTTATTAAAATACATTTCATTTTCAAAATGTAATAGAATCTACAGACACCCTATATACATGATTTTAGGACACCCTGTGTATGTCTGTGCTTTTATGCCAGTACCATGTTGCTTTGATTACTATAGCCTTATAGTATGGTTTGATATCAGGTAGCATGATTCTCCAACTTTGTTCTTCTTTCTCAAGATTGCTGTGGCTATTTGAGTTTTTTTGTGGTTCCGTATAAATTTTTGGATTATTCTAGTTTTGTAAAATATGCCATTGGTATTTTGATAGGAATTGAGTTGAATCTGTGGATCGCTTTGGGTATTGTGGACATTTTAACAGTGTTGATTCTTTTTATCCATGAACACAGTATATGTTTCCACTTATTTTTCCTTCTTTGGTTTCTTTCTTCAGTGTCTTACAGTTGTCTAAGTACAGTTCTTTTAGTTTTATCACTTCTAGTAGTTTTATGGTGGGATCTTTAGGGTACTCTCTATACAATATCATTTCACCTGCAAATGACCGTTTTATTTCTTTCTTTTTTTCTAATTAGGATGCCTTTTATTCTTCTTGCCTGATTGCTGTGGCTAGGATTTCCATTACTATGTTGATTAAGAGTGGTGAAAGTGGACATCCCTGTCTTGTTTCTGATCCTAAAAATGCTTTTAGTTTTTGCCCATTGAGTGTGATGTTAGCTGTGTTTTGCCATATATGGCCTTTATTATGTAAAGATATGTTCCTTCTATTCCTTCTTTGCTGTGACTTTTTATCATAAATGGGTGCTGGATTTTGTCAAATGTTTTTTCTACATCTGTTGATATGATCATGTGATTTTTATTCTTCATTTTGCTTATGTGATGTTATCACATTTATTGATTTGCAGATATTGTTCCAACCTTTCACCCCAGGAATAAGTCCCACTTGATCATGGTGTTGTATGATCTTTTTTATGTATTGCTAGATTCGGTTTGCTATTATTTTGTTGAGGATTTTTGCATCCATGTTCATCAGGGATATTGGCCTACAGTTTTCTTTCTGTGAAGTATCCTTTATCTGGTTTTGGAATTAGGATACAGCTGGCCTCGTGAAATGGGTTTGGGTGTCTTCCCTCCTCTTGAATTTTTGAGATAGTTTGAGAAGGGTAGGTGTTAGCCCTTCTTTGAATGTTTGGTAAAATTCACCTTTGAAGCTATCCAGTGCAGGAGTTTTGTTTGTTGGAAGTTTTTGGATTACTGCTTCAGTTTCATTAATTGTAATCATTCTGTTCAGATTTTCTTTTTGATTCAATTTTGGGAGATTGTATGTTTCTAGGAATTTATCCATTTCTTCCAGATTGTTTAATTTGTTGTCATATAGTTGTTTGCAACATTTTCTTACAATTTTTTGTATTTCTGTGATGTCAGTTGTTACTTTTTCTCCTCTTCATTTCTGATTTTACTAATTTGGGTCTTCTCTTTTTTCTTGATATTTCTTGTTCAAGGTTTATCAACCTTGTTTATCTTTTCAAAGTACCGGTTCTTGGTTTCATTGGAAACTAATTTTTATTGGCGTACGATTGACATACAATATCCTATTAGTTTCAGATGCACATTACAGTGATTTGGTGCTTATATATATTCATGTGAAGTGATCTCCACATAACTCTAATTACCATCTGTCATCTTACAAAGTTATTACAGTATTACTGTTATATTCTCTCTGCTGTACATCAGTCACATCCCCATTGACTCATTTACATTTTTATAACTGGCCCTGGCCAGTTTGGCTCAGCGGTCAGAGCATCAGCCTGCAGACCAATTAGTGGCGGGTTCAATTCCGGTCAAGGGCATGTACCTTGGTTGTGGTTCATCCTCAGCCCTGGTCGGGTCGTGTGGGAGGCAACCAGTTGATGTGGCTCAGTCACATCGATACATCTCTCTCTCTCTCTCTCTCTCTCTCTCCCTCTCTCTCCCCCCTTCCCTCCCTCCCACTCTACCTGATGATAAATAGAAAAGTATCCTCGGGTGAAGAATAAAAATAAATACATAAATTGAATAAAATAAATTTTTGTAGCGGAAATTTGTACTTCTTAATGTCTTTCACCTATTTTCCCAGCTCCTGAATGCCTCCTCCCTCTGGTAATCACCAGTTTTTTCCTCTGAGTCTGTTTCTGCTTTGATTTGTTTGTTTGTTTTTGTTTTCATTAGTTGCACATATAAGTGAAATTATGTGATATTTGACTTATTTCACTCAGCATAATACCCTCTAATATTTCATTTTTTTAATGGCCAAGTAATGTTCTATTGTGTATATGTACCACAGCTTTTTTATCCACTGTCTGTGATGAGCACTTGGGTTGCTTGCGTATCTTGGCTGTGTAAGTAACATCGGGGTGCATGTGTCTTCTGAATTCGTGTTTTCATTTTCTGTGGGTAACTACACAGCAGTAAAGTTACTGGATCGTATGTTGGTTCTGTTTTCTATTTCTGGAGAACATGTCTTCATCATGACTGCTCTGAAAGTATCATCAGAAGTCCTGACACCCCGGTGGCCTCAGCATTGATACTTGTTGGCAGTTTTCTTTCCTTCTGTCTGGAGTCTTCTGGTTCTTGGTGTGGCTAGTGATGGTTGAAGCCTGGACGTTTTCATATTATGCTGTTATCATGTGCCCTTTATTTCAACCACTGTTTTGATTGGCTTTCTCTGACACTCTCCTGATAGGTGTGGGGGTGCTCTGTGCCTCATGACTGCCAGGTGGAGGTTCCCAGTCAGACTCTGTTGACAGAGAGGTGGGGGTCCTCTCCCTCCACTCTCTCCTGCACCTCCTCTGGTACAGCCACACTGAGAGAGGGAGGGTGCCCCTAACCAGGGCAGGTGGGACTTGGGGCTCTCCACATGGCCTCACTGACAGCACAGTTGGGGCCACATGTTATCGTCGGCACTGATAAAAGTCTCAGTTCCCTTATCCAACACCACCCTGGGGGTGTTGAAGGGCCCTGTAGCCTCACAAGGGGCGAGTTCAGCCCCGCCCTGCAGTGTTCCTGGTACAGAAGGCACAGCCTGGGTTCTGCCGTGGGGTGGCGGCGTAGAGCTGTTAGCGATTGCTGGGAGCCTGTGGCTACAGAGCGTGGGCTCTGTTAGAGCTTTTCTGTCTGTGTCCGTGCATTTCCAGGTGGCCAGTTTTATGAGCTCCAAGTCTGGGAAATCCAGGACACTCATTTCATGTCGTGTTTCAGGTCCCTCGCTGGTCTGACATTTCTCTCCATCTCTCAGTCTTCTTATGTGTGTTTTGTGTGTAATGTTGGGGGTTTGGTTGCACCTAGTAAGAAAAATAGGGAAAGTATGTCTGCTCCATCTTCCCAGAAGTAGGACTCTTGCATATACTTTTAATTAGTACAACCTAATTTAAAAATGTATTTCCTCCAAATTAACCCAGTTTAGATCTTACGGGTTTCATCTGCAAGATTCAGAGTTCTGCCCTGGGTTTACAGATAGAGTCACCATGCAGTATTGCTTCTCATGACAGTGTGACGGCGGGAGGTGACATTTCAGGCAGAGATGCACTGATGGTGAGATGTAGTGCGCGTGTATTTCTCGGAAAGAGAAGGCTGCCATCAGTAAACCGAGAGGTCACCCGTGCATGCTGTTAATGTGCATGCTGACTTCCGAGAGGTGGAACACAGACGGGTGCTGCTCAGGGCAGAGCTGATGTGGCCATTTTGTGAGGAGAACTTGCACCGGGAAGTGCGAACAATGATGTGTGCTTGTTCCAACGAGTTTTATGTGTCCATTGTGGTCACATTAACAAGGGAATGTTGGCCATCTTACAATAAAGGGAACATTCTTTCTCTGAGAATACTGACAAGGCCCTTTAAACCCCAGTTCAGTTGCTCTCTCTTCTTTACAGAGACAGAGCTGCCTGCTTTGCTATTCAGAAAGGATTACAGGCATCACGGAGCGACATTAAATTATTTGAGCACAATGACATGGCTGACCTGGAGCGACTGCTAAGAGAACAAGAGGTCGAAGATCACAAGGTACAGTTCTTCTGAGGGCCTCCGTGAGCGCTTGTGCTTGCTGAGCAGCTGAGGGATACATGAGAGGGTGATCTGTCCTGGAACTTGCCTGCGGACCGCATCTGGACCGGCAGCACGTCCTGCTTAGTAAATGTGCTCCCTGTTGTAGGGCCAGGTCTGATCGTGGGCCTCCTCACTGCCATGAGTGCACGTGGCGGAGGGGGGAGGTGTCAGGCGGCTCTGAACTGGGGAGAGGCAACAGCCCACACTCCTGGGGTGGGGAACGTACGCTCCCAACTCTGCAGAAATGGCTCCAGGACTCACGAGGGTGTTAATGAAATGGACCTGTTGAATTCAAAATAGATTAGTTCATATCAGAATAAGTCATGTAGCCAACAAGGGGGAGAAACAGTAACAGCAGATCTTAGTTTATGAATTTGTGAGCACAGTGAGGCTTTCGCCACCTACCTTCCTGCTGCAGCTCTGGCAGGGGCTGCCTGGGGAGTAGTGCCGCAAGCCCGGTTTCCTGGGTCTCGCAGCCCATTCACACCTGTCTTCCCCTTGGCGGAGCGGGGCTTGTTCCTCCGAGTTCACGCAGAGGGCAGCGGAGGGGGTGTGTTCAGAGCATCACTGTCCGAATTATTGTTTATCTTCTGATGCTGTGGATGAAGGAAGTAGTTCTGGTCTGTGGTTCTGCAGGAGCCATTGTGTGTGGACTGGGCTGGAGCCTGGTCACTGCAGACTTGGTCTCAGCGCCACGTTCAAGAGGACTGTTCCAGTAACTGATAAAGGTGCTCATCACGCTCCTCAGTTTTGTGTTACTTTTTGTTCTTCCAAATATGTGCATGTTCCTCTGGGATTCTGTTGTCTTTGTTGGTGACAGCTGAGAGCAGGTCTCACTGAGCACGTGTATGTACTCTGTGACGGATGCCATCTGTGGTGACGTTATAGCTACACAGCTAGGGAAGCTGGCCGTGGGAACTGGCCCACTGCTGGCTCTTTCTACAACTCGTGGAAAGATGTCCCTTGCCCTGGCTGAGTCGTAGGGTGCTGCCAGACTGAAGACGCTGCTCGGAGTGTGGCCAGGGACCAGTCTGCTCTAGAGTTTATTGTGCCCAGTTAGTATTGTATCAATTTGGAAAACATCACACTCCAGTTTTGCGTCTGTGTGTTTGTCTTACCATATTTATTACCTGTGGAATTTTTTTTAATGAATAACAAGAAATAAAATTATCTTGAAATGTATTTCCATTTTATACTTTTAACCTTTTTTTTAAATTCTCACCCGAGGATATTCTTCCATTTATCTTCAGATAGAGTGTGAGGGAGGGAGGGGGACAGAGAGACATCGACTGGCTGCCTCTTGTATGCCCCGGACCAGGGCCCGGGACTGAACTGGAATCGAACCTGCGACTCTTTGGTTTGTGGACCAACACTCTAACCACTGAGCAAACTGTCCAGGGCTATAGTTTTTACTTTTTTTTTTTTTTTTTTAATTAATTTTTTTATTCTCACCTGAGGACATTTTTTTTTATTTTTTGTTCAAATAGAGCGGGAGGAAGAGAGAGAGAGAAACATCGATGTGAAAGGGACACATCGAGTGGCTGCTACCTGCACAACCCAACCAGGGCCAGGGACAAACTGCAACTGAGGTACGTGCCCTTAGCGGGAACCGAACTCAGGTCTCTCTGGACCGCAGGCCGATGCTCTAACCGCTGAGCCACACCGGCCAGGGCTCATTTTTACTTTTTTACTAATTAATTTATACTATATTTTTCTGCCAAAAGTAGACTTCCTAAATTACTCTACATTTAGTTTTGAAAAATGATTTTTTTTCTCAGTTTTATTTTCACATAAATGTAAGTGTTAAGTTTTTGAATATTTTCTACATAGATGCTTACCTTTTCTTTGAAAGTGAATTAAAATATTGCAGTTTAGTCCAGGTTTGGATCTGTGTGTTTTTGTTTTGTTTTTTAAATATGTTTTTATTGATCTCAGAGAGTAAGGGAAGGGAGAGAGAGATAGAAACATCAGTTTGCCTGCCACCCAGGCATGTGCCCCGACCAGGAATCAAGCTGTGACCTCCTGGTGCCTAAAACCACGCTCAACCACTGAGCCACACTGGCTAGGCAATTACTGTTTTTATTAATTTCCCAAGATATTTTTTAGTTCTTTTCCTACAGGGAGGGTTCTCATGTTCCATATTCTTCTATAAAAAATAAAGGAAGAACAGTAGATAAAAACAGCATTTTATAGAAGAAATACAAATAACTGAGCAAGTGAAAAATAATCTGGCTTCACTAGTAATTAGACAGAGTTGGGGGTGGGGAGAGAGAAACATTGATGTGAGAGAGACACATTGACTGGTCGCCTCCCACAGGACCCCAAGGCGGGGCTGCAGATTGAACCTGCAGCCCAGGTACGTGCCCTGGACAGGGATCGAACCCGCGATTCTTCGGTCCTCAGAGTGACACTCTAATTTCAAAGCCAAACCATCTAGGGCAGAACACTTTTTAATAGTGACGATCAGTGTCAGTACTGATACATGTGATGGGACAGGGCCCTCCTATACCTCTGGGAGTTTCAGTTGACCCAGCATTTCTGGAGGGCAAGTGGGCACATAGATCCCAGTACTCTTTTTTTTTTTATCCTTACCTGAGGACATTTCTGCATTTATCTTCAGATAGGGAGGGAGAGAGGGGGAAAGAGAGAGAGAGAGAAACATCAATGTGAGAGAGACACATTGACTGGTTGCCACCCACGCAACCCCAACTGGGCTGGGGACAAACTGCAACCTAGGTACGTGCCCTTAGTGGGAACTGAACCCGGGACTTTCTGGTCCGCAGGCCGACACTCTAACCACTGAGCCAAACCGGCCAGGACTATCCCAGTATTCTTAAGTATCCATACCCTTTGGACTGTTAATCTGGGGTGCTGTCACTAGAAGAGAATCAGAAATAGTGTGACAGGTTGAAGGATATTTACAATTCGATGTAAAGAAGCAGCAAAGCAGGGGCCACTGGCTACATCCAACATTGGGAGAGCCGTTCCTTTATGGTAAACCCACAAGGTGGAATACTGTTTCTTCCCTAAGACCATGTTTTGAATAATACTAAGTAATGTGGAAATGCTTGTAACATAATATTTTTAAAATTCACATCCTAAAACTGTTGCAGTAAAATCCTGATTTGAGCAACATAATTTATAAAGATACGGTTTTTACAAGAGAGACAGACCTTATCATTGTGTGGTGTGACAAGCTAATTTGTTACATTTCTTTTTGTACTTTTCTATTTCCCAAGAGTTCTGCAGTGAACATTTTTAAATCCTAAATAAAATACTTCGTTTTAAACGGCAGGGAGAGGCAGGATGCCCCCATGTCCATCTGGGACCCCCAGCAGACCTGTGGCCTTTGGGTTTGTGGAGATGACCAGGCGGACTGACGATGGATGCTTGAGCACAGACAGACACCGCTCAGAGTTTCCACTGTGGGTGCTGACTTATCCCTGACAGCACAGCTCTGATACGTAGTTTCTAGTCCATCAGACAAACCTAAAGGCATGCAACCTTTGATGGGAAGGTGGTGGTAAACTGCCTGTGGGTCTCAGTGTTGTTCATCCCAGCACACACAGCGTCCACACATTTGGCAGGGGAACTTGGAATCACTGGGGTATAGGGAAAGTGTTGTCTGAAAATGTCCTTCCATACCACCGACTTCCATCATCACTAGATGAGATCATAGTCAGGTTTTACCTGACCCACTAGTGAGGAGTGAGGAAGGAAAAGGATTTCATCTGTTTTTTAGTAAATGAAGTAAAGCAGAGTTTATCTCTGTTGTTTTTATTGTGGAAAATTCCAGGCACATTGAAAGGGGACACAGTAGTATTATGAAGTCTCTGTACCTCCTCCTCCCAGCTTGTTCTCAACATTCTGCCATTCTTATATCATCTGGATCACCATCCCACTTCCCACTACATCTCTGTGTTAACTGACATCATTGTTACAGTATTTTTAGTTTAAGGTAGTTGTACAGACACTGAAATGCACAGATCCTGGCCATACAGTTCTGACCAGTGGTTAGACCTGTGTAACCCCAGTACCATGGCCCCTCATGTCATCAGACATCCTTCCATTCCAGAAAGTTCTCTGGGCCCTTCCCCAGTCATTCTGGGCTGCAGGGTTTGTTTGTGTTATAATAGTTTCATAGTGCCTCCACCGTGTGTGTGCACATGCATGTCTGTGTGTCTCGGGTCTCCTAGGTGATTGCAGGGGCTAGAACACATATCTGAGAGGAGAACCCATGATTCTTCTGCTCATAATAGCACGGTATCAGACCTGGGCTTGAAATTCATCCACGCTACCTGTTTATTTTGATAAATAAATCTTGTCATAGATTTTGTATATGGAGTTACTAATATTTTAAATGTCTGGGTTTTTTTCTCTTAAAGAATCCTCGCAAGGCACGTGTGACGCGACGTTTCATCATAGCTGAAGGGTTGTACATGAACACTGGGACTATCTGTCCTCTTCCGGAACTGGTGAGCAGCCGTGTTGGTTCATTGTTTTAGTGTCCAGACTGCTGGGCAGTCTGCCTTCTGTTTATGACCACTTGGAATGTGTGACCTGTGCACTGCTCTGAACAGTAGGTGTCAGAAGCACCTCTGATCATACCAGGGAAGTAGACTAATGTGAAATGCCTACCGAGCCCATGGAGGAGTCAGCTCCGCTTCTCTGAGGTATGAGGACATACAGTGGAACAGTTACAGAGTAGTCTGATGAGCTTTGAGGTCTGCACCCCTGTCCACCACCACCTAATCAAAGTACAGACAGACCTATCAGTCCAGAAAATTCCCTCAGGCCTCTTCTTAGCCAGGACCCCCAGACCTGGCCCAAGGCCATTATTGATCTGTTCCTGTAGTTTTGCCTTTTGTTGAACTTCGTATAAATAAAATTGTACATGACTATTGAGATTTCTTAAAATTGAGATGACATTTACATAACATAAAATCAGTTGGTTTTTTTGCTTGTTTTGATTTGGTTTTGGTCAACTTCCAGTATCAGTTGTAGTTTCCCAATTTACCGGAATGGGAATTCACGTTTGCAAATACTGAGGTAGTTTGAAGAACCTAAAATGAGGCTCAGACATTATTGAGCACTGTCTTGCTACAGTTAATTGTGTTCAGTTCTAGAGAAAATAACTGGTCTGGAAGCTGAGAAAATTAGCTGTGAAGGGTCCAGTTCAGTGGCATCGATCCAGGCGCCATCCACGGGCTGGTGCTGAACCCTTTTCGTAACTCCCAGGGAAGACTTCCTCAGCGACTCAACCACGGACTGTTTATTGAATTGTTTATTTCCGGGAGTTTCCAGTTAATGTTTTCAGACCACAGTTGGCTGTGGGTAATGGAACCGCAGTGTGAGCTGAGCTGAAGGAGGACGGCTGTGACGTGACCTTGGTGTGTGGCTTCCTGCACCGAGCGTCCTGTTCTCCCGGTTCTCCCTCTGTGGCACCAGCACCTCGGCCCTGCGTAGCGCAAGGACGTCACCTGTCGGGGACGTCCTGCACTGTCTGTCTGCTGATGAGTATTCGGCTGCTTCCACCTTTTGGCTCTTGTGAATAGTGCTGCTGTGAACATTTGTGTGTGTTCATCTGAATCTGTTTTCAGGTTTTTGGTGTGTGTATCTAACGGTGTAATTGCTAGATCATAGGGCAGCTTTGTGTTTAATTACGGAGGCGCTGCCACACTGTTTCCCACAGCGGCTGTGCCCTTCTGTCAGTGTGATACGTTACACTGATTGGTTGCCCTGTGCTGAACCACCCTTGCATCTGACCACTGACATTTGAATCCGTGACTCCCTCAAATTGAATAAGGATGGAATGTAAGGGTTCCATATCTTCTTTTTCAAGTTTTCACTATATTTAGAGAAAATACAAATACATCCTAAATGTCAGGGAAAGAGATATATTGTTTTCCTCTCCCCATTTTTCTGTCCAAGACTGATGGGACCATGAAGGGAGGCAGTGGCCAGAAGGTGCTAGAACTGAGTGTTTCAGGCCACAACTGCAGTACCCATGGCAGCGTGCAGCCCAGCAGGGGAGCAGCAGCTGGAGGGCCGGGCAGGTCCGCCTGCGTCAGAACTAGTGTGGGCGATTGAGGGCGCACAGCAGGGTGACTGGGGCTCCTCTCCCTGATCTGTGCTGTCATCGTGTTATTAAATATATTCAAATGGGATTCTCAGGAACTTCTCATTCATGTTAATGGATGGAGAAGAGTCAATATTGAAAAGATATGATTCTCACCAAACGAGTGTATTCATTTTTAATTAGAATCCAGCAAAAAGCTCAGTGCCCTCCCCACCTGAATTTGATATTGATTAGCAAGATTAGCCAATAAAAATCATGATTAAAAAGTAAATGATCACCCTGGCTGTGTGGTTCAGTTGGTCAGGTGTCGTCCCATGCCCTGAAAGGTGGCCAGTCCGATTCCTGGTCAGGGCCCACGCCTGGATTGCAGACTCAGTCCTTGGTCAGGGCACATGTGGAAGGCAACTGATATATATATATATTTTTTAATCCTCACCCAAGGATATTTTTCCATTGATTTTATTTTTAGATAGAGTGGGAGGAAGAGAGTGAAGAACCATCGATGTGAGAGAAAGAAATCGATTGGTTGCCTCCTGCATGACCCTGACCAGGGCCAGGGATCGAACCTGAGACTCTTTGGTCTGTGAGCCAGCACTATAACCACTGAGCCAAACCGGCCAGGGCACAATTGATACTTTAAAAAAAAAAAAAGTAAATAAATTATCTGAGACTTGTGATATGGAACATACACATTTTCTGCATTATTTCTATTGTTTCAGTGTGAAAAGATCTTAAATTAAATCTTTAGTAATCAAAATACATGAGTCATGGGAGTATTCAAGAGGTCAGCCTCTATCATATATATAAAAATTTAGTGGTTGATGCCCTGGCCGATTTGGCTCAGCGGTTAAGCGTTGGCCTGTGGTCCAGAGAGACCCAGGTTTGGTTCCCGCTGGGGGCACGTACCTCGGATGCAGTTGGTCCCAGGCCCTGGTTGGTCGTGTGGGTGGCAGCCTATCGATGTGTCCCTTTCACGTCGTCGTTTTTCTCTCTCTCTCCCTCCCACTCTATCTGAACAAAAAATGGAAAAATGTCCTTGGATGAGGATAGGAAAAAAACAATTTAGTGGTTGATAATCTCTGTACTTTAACTCATTTGTAAAATTGATCACAAATATGTCATATGGGGTAAACATTAGGGAGTGAAAAACTTATAAACAAACATGCATATATTCATCTTCCCACTGGGTAAACAGAAATATAAATAAAACGAAATGCTTAGAAGAACACAGATAAGCATCTGAACCTTTGACGGGAAAGGTCCGTGTAAGCCTGGAAGTAAAGGGAAGAACATGTGACGGAGCGTGCCCTGGGTTAAGTGCCGTGGGCCCAGAATCAAACCAGTGTTACGAGGAGCAGTGTGCACGTCCCAGGACTCAGCAGCTCCGTTATGTGTCTGTGCTCATGTGTCTTACCACTGACTTCTTTAAAAACTGCCATTGTGCTGTCTGTATCACTGAGTTAAATTGAACCCTTTAGAGCATCTAAAATTCCACTGATTTTTGTTGTTCGTGGCACTTAGAGTCTGTAAAATGTGCTGCAGATACTGAACTGCAGAGTCTTAACTGTTGCTCCTGGGCAGACAGTCGGCTTTCTGCAAGTCTCCAGTCACAACATTACATCATTCTGCACATGACTGCATTTTATATGTGTTTCTGTTCAAAGACACCTGATTTAATTGACTTTCTCGATTCACTCACATTAGCTCACGGCCAACAGCGCTCTGACTCCTGTCTGAGCGAAGCTTATCTAACACACGTGTTTTCTCCGGGAGGCTCGTCACGGCCTCGCTTAGGAACACCGACAGCACTCAGCACTCTGCTGGGGACCATTTAAACAACAGATCACCAACAAAAATCACAAAGTGCGCAAACACGTGGCAGTAAATAGACTGTGATAGGATACTTGCTTACAGTGTGAGCTGGAGCCGCCTCCTGTTCCACTCCGCGGGGGCGTGCACGTCAGGTGGCTCGGTTTCCAGCGTGCACGGTGCCTGGAGCGTTGATCTGGGCACAGACACACACCAGCACGTGGGCAGAGCCACAGAGGAGCCTGCCTGGGGAGGAGGGCCGCACACGCTCTTCCCGGGGCATGCTGTTTGCTCCACTAACCAACAGAGTTTTGACTTTATGTTTTATTAACACTCAGGTTAAGTTAAAATACAAATACAAAGCCAGGATCTTTCTGGAGGAAAGCCTTTCGTTTGGAGTCCTTGGGGAGCACGGCCGAGGAGTCACTGAACACTTTGGAATCAATGTAAGTCTCCTGTTCTGGAGCGTTCCCTCATACAGGAAACAGCTCTGTCCTTCAGACAGCATCCCCGGCACCGGCATAGCCACTGTCTGCTCTGCACCGGGCCCACAGAGGGCCAGGGCCGCCACGCCCGCGGGCTGTAGGAGCAGAGCCCTCAAGATCAGTTCTGTTGAAACCTCACGGACCTTCTGTGGGGAGACCATGAAATGGTTTTGTTTGTACCTTTGTTTTGTTTTTAGCATCAAACTGCTTTGGATTTCATCTTCTAACGCCTCTCTTCTCTTGTGTACACATTGTTAATGTGGGAGGAGATGGCAGAAAGGACAGAGGGAGACACTGTCCGGGGGCTGAACACCATCCTCTGAAGGGCAGAGCTGTGCGTCCATCCTCTGTTCACATCAGTAGTTTGTAGAGCCCAGATTGGAATTCATGATTCATGCTGAAATGTTGTCTCTAGGCTTGAAATTGGTCTGTTTTTGATAGAGGAATAATTAACATTGTCCCTCTTTTCTGGCAGATCGATGACATTGATCTTATCAGTGCCAACATGGAGAATTCACTTGCCTCTATTGGGGGTTTCTGCTGCGGCAGGTCTTTCGTAATCGACCATCAGGTAGGTTCTCTTTGGAGCAGAAGCAGCAGCTGAAACTCACTGTTCCTTGGTTACCTCACAGTGTAACTTATAATTATCAAAATTTTGTTCACAGTTAATCACACAATTTTTATTTTAAAGTCCATTTGTTAAAGAATCACTGAAAATATTTACATTTAGAAAGTATCTCCCTTTCTTAAAAGTCTTGTTTTTGTTACATGTATGGCTTTTATACATGCCTGGATCTTACTACCTCAGTGTTTGTATATGATATTCAGTAGGTGATGCAGAAATTTGGTGCCTTTAGACTTCTTAGCCAGAGAGAGAGACAGAGAGAGATGCATTATGTTTTTACCTTGTTTGCTTCTTCTCAGCGGCTTTCCGGCCAAGGCTACTGCTTTTCTGCTTCTTTGCCTCCCCTGTTGGCTGCTGCTGCGATCGAGGCCCTGAACATCATGGAGGAGAACCCAGGTACGACCTTCCCACCCGGAGGTCAGGTTCTGCACGTCACGTTGCTGTGCCACTCATGTCTTTTTGGAAGAGTCAGCTGGAGGAAAGGATTTCTCAGGCAGAGCCCTGGTCTGAACTGCGTTCTTGGGCATGGAGAGAGCGGCCGTGCACAGCCGGCCTTACGTAGGGGTCAGGCAGCGTCCCTCCTGTTCTGGGGCAGGGGCCAGAGTACTGGTTCCCTCGGGTGGAGGTGCCCAAGGAGGGCTCGGCTCTGGGCTTGTCATTTGGGTGGTCTTTTTTTTTTCCCCCTTTAAGAAATTAGCTGAAGTGTGTTACTAATTTTTGTGATACATACTTTTATGACTGTCGCTTCGTTTCCCCTTCAGCCTTTGAATCGTCAGGTGGTACCTCGTTTATCAGCCATCAGAGGTTACCTAATGGGCAAAGTTGACTAAATTTAAAATGTGGCTTTGGCTGTGATCATGTCTGTTCACCCAAGCTGGAAACAGAGTGTGAGAAACACATGACTAGTATATCTGATTTTTAAATTTTCCAAATTTTCAACTTTGATTTTAACTCAGAGACTGGGGGAGACGTGTGTGTTTCTGTGCACTGTCCTGTGCCGCTCGGCAGGGGGCAGCCTTCCTGCCTGCGCAGGTCTTCTAGTGTCTGCGTTTCCCTGGGGAGAGGGGAGACATCAAGGGAAAGATTGTAAACTTTATTATATACAGTCTCTGTGTTTTACCCAATTATCTATTTTTTACCAACTTTACCAATTTGTTAGTTTTGTAACAAATTATTGGTATCCTTTTATCCTCAGCCAGATTATGTATAGAGTTTTCGTGAGAACAAGCGCCAGTGGGCGGAAGGTGTGCAGAGCAGTGTGTGCACGTCTATGTGTGTCGTGTGTGAAAGGGTCTGCAGTGCTTTCAGTCCGTGGACTTGATCTGACCCTGAGCATACTTTAGGTCAGTAGTGTCACATCTTCCAGTACATAGCTGGCCCTTGAACAGCACAGGTTCGAACCTCACAGGGCCACTTGATGCAGTTTGTTCCCATCTCCTGTTGGGAGTCTGAGGACGCTGAGGGTCTGCTGTGCACGTTGGCCGTGTCCTTCACACCTGCGGATGGGGTCCCGCAGGCGCCGAGGGCAGCTGAAGGTTCTGAGAAGTCAGAAGTTAAACATGGATTTTCTCCTGGGTGTGGGGGAGCGGTCAGCACCCCTAACGTCACATTGTTTGAGGGTCACGGTACTATGAGTGTTTTTTCCTTCAGGTGTCTTTGCAGTGCTGAAGGAGAAGTGCAGACACATTCACAGTGCTTTACAAGGGTGAGTTTGTATGTTTTCAACCAACTGGAGTTCATCTGCACCACATGGAAGCAATTAATGAAACATGCGAATGTCATCTCAGGCTGGGGTCAGTTTGACTGGGTTGTAACTAAGAAACCACAAACTCAGTTTGCGCATATGTGTTTGTATGTATGAAACCAGAGCATCCATTGTATCGTTATTTTAAAGAATCATGATGTTTTTCTAAAAACTGGCACAAGCTCGTTAACAAAATGTTATAGCAGTATACAAGATAAAAATAAAAGTAACCCAACATGCAGCCACCGGAAGTAGTCAGCATAAACCCTAGACTACACATCTGTACAAATAAGACATAATATGAGCCCTGGCCAGTTTGGCTCAACAGTTAGAGCATCAGCCCGCAGACCGGAGAGTCCCAGTTTCAGTTCCCGCTAAGGGCACGTACCTTGGTTGCAGTTCATCTCCGGCCCCGGTTGGGGTTGTATGGGTGGCAGCCAGTTGATGTAGCTCTCTCACATTGATGTTTCTCTCTCTTCCTCCCTCTCTCCCTCCCGCTCTATCTGAAGATAAATGCAAAAATGTCCTTGGGTGAGGATTAAAAAAAGACATAGTGATGGGCTGCACCATTGGATGACATTGTTCATACTTCCGCATTCCTCTCTCAAAGATTCCTGAGTTTTATTTAAAGTTAATGTAGGAAAAAGAGACAAGTGAATTGGAGCGAACCTCACTGGCGGTTCATTTGTTTGACGACACCAAAGCTGCAAGGTCCCCGAGAGCTGAGAAGACATGGAGGGCGGGGCGTGCTCAGGCACATTCTGGTCCTCGTTGCCCCGGGTGTTTCTCAGGTGACATCTGCCTTCTGGTGAGGAAAGGCCTCTCTCTAGTGCCAGTTATGGAAACGAGAAACTTTCCTAAAAGAGTCATGAGCAGATCACAGCTGTTCCAGATAAAGAAGGGGCAGAAGTAATTAAGGTTCTGGGTGTGTTTGCCTAATAGCAATAACAATTCTTGCATGATTTATGGTGGAGAGAGACCATCTGTATCGACTGCATTACATTGGGTTGTGGAATATTAATGTACAATCAGGCCAGCAAGCTGGAGTCCCTGCCGGTGCAGGACCGGTGCCCTGCGCTCTGTCCGGCAGTGTCGGGGTGTTTGGTGTGTGGTCCCGTCTGCTCTCTCTCCCCAGCTCTCCCACACCTCTTCGTCTTTCCACTGTCCTCGGCTCTGTCTGCATCTGCCTTCAGCTGTGCACGTGCAGGTGTGGGAGCCAGTCTTGCGTTGTTGCAGCCAGAGCCATGTTCCTCCACCCTCAGGGCTCTTCTCACTGAGGGCCAAGGGCCTTTGGTGTCCCTCCTCGTCGTCGAGGGTCCTTCTGCTCCTGGGTCCTTCCGCTCCTGAGCACTCAGTCCCCTCTGCCCTCTCAGCCCCTCCCTGGCCTCACCTTCACCTCCAGCTTCAGTGCGCCGGTCTCCTTGTGCTCATCTTCCCGGCCTCCCCGCGCTCATCTTCCCGGCCTCCCCAAAGCCTCCGCGTCTGGCTGGAGCCCCGCCTCCACCTCTGCCCCTGCCCTCGCCCGCCTGCCCGCAGAGGCTGCCAGCACGCGAACTCAGGGCGTGTCCCAGGAGCCTGGGCCCAGCTGGCCGCTCTCCACGCGCATGCCCCTCGGATTCTGTCACCGTGCTGGCCTTCTCCCGCCTCCAAGTCACTTCCTCTGGCTCCTCTGGAGACCAGTTCAGCATCCTCCTCTCGGGCCAGGCCACAGTCCTCTTCTCAGTTCCCTCCTTGGAGAAGTGGCACCAGAAACATTCCTAGAATTTTCATTGTAACTGCATCAAGTTTTCTGTTTCGTGTGGAGGGAATCTGTATCCACTTATTTGAATTTTCTTTTGTGTCCTTTAATGGAAATTAAAAATTTTCCCTAAAGCTCTTGTATCTCCTGGGACCTTAGATATCCTGTAGATTTTGTTCCTGTTATGAGTAGGGTTGTCTTTTCTTTCTGTTCTCTAACTATTGCAGGTTTATTAGAATGTTACTGTTTTCTCTATACTGGTCTTGCATTCAGCAGTCTAAGGTCTTATTAATTCCAATAGTTCTTTAGTTCCGTTATGATGGTGTACATAGAAATTCTTTACCTGCAATAATGTTTTTCTCTTCCTTCTTAATTCTTAAACATTTTAGTTCTTTTTCTTCTTTTATTACATTGGTCTGGGTCTCTACTACTCTACTGAGCAGGCAGTAATAGCAAACATCCTCTCATTCCCAATATAAAAGTGTTTTTCTTATTAACTATAAAACAGCCCTGGCCAGTTTGGCTCAGCGGTTAGAGTGTTGGCCTGTGGTCCGGAGAGACCCGGGTTCGGTTCCCGCTAAGGGCACGTACTTCGGTTGCAGTTTGTCCCCGGCCCTGGTTGGTCGTGCGGGTGGCAGCCACTCGATGTGTCCCTTCACGTCGATGTCTCTCTCTCTCTCTCCCTTCCTCTCTCTCCCTCCCACTCTATCTGTACAAAAAATGGAAAAATATCCTCGGGTGAGGATAAAAAAAAAAAAAAACCTATAAAACATCATACAATAAGTTTTTGGTGGATGGCTTTTATCAAATTATTCTTAGGTTTGTAGAATTTTTAGAATTATAGACTGGCTCATGCTGACTTGCATGTATATGTTTTCTGTTGGTAAGCCATCCTTGCATTTCTGACTAAACCACTAGATTGCAGCATGATTTTCTACACTATGAGATTTAGTTAGCTTGTATTTTAATTTGAATTTTTATATCCATACTTAATAATTTAACTGGACCTGGCGAGTGTTATGCTAAGTGAGATAAGACAGAAAGACAAGCACCGCATGACCTCACGCATGCGGGGAAGAGAAGCAGCTGGTGCTGGCAGAGGGCGCGGGGTGGGCGGCAGAAGGGGTGCGGGTGAGTGTGGTCCGGTGCTGAGCGCACAGGCAGCAGGCAGGGGTGCGCAGCTCACTCCTGACCCTGTGCAGTCTTGTTGCCGGTGTTCTCACAGCGGATTACGTTTAAAAATAAATAAATAAATATATAAATGATCCTGTGATTTTTAATTTTTTTTTTTTTTTATCATCCTCACCCGAGGACATTTTTCCATTTTTTGTTCAGGTAGAGTAGGAGGGGGAGAGAGAGGAACAGAGAGAGAGAGAGAGAAACATCGATGTGAAAGGAACACATCGAGTGGCTGCCACCCGCACGACTGACCAGAGCCGGGGACAAACTGCAACCGAGGTACATGCCCTTAGCAGGAACCGAACCCGGGTCTCTCAGGACCGCAGGCCAACGCTCTAACCGCTGAGCCAAACTGGCCAGGGCGATCCTGTGATTTTTAATACTGACCTCAGATAATCTAGGATCAGTGTTCTGGTAGCCTCAGTGAAGGGGTGAGCAGTTTTCTCACTTCCTGCTCTGTGAAGCCACTGTGAGACCAGGCCTGGTACGTGTCCCTCAGTGGGCAGGACCCCACCCCCACCCCGCTCAGGTTCGCTGGGCCTGGGCCTTTGGACGGGGTATAGCCTGATTACCTCTGTGCCTGCACGATTCTCCTTTATACTCTATTTTTTTTCCTTTGTGTTTTTATGATAAACTTTCCAGACATGTGCCTAACTTATTATTTTGTGTGTGTGTGTGTGTGTGTGTGAATACTCACCCGAGGATATTTTTCTATCTATTTCTTTTAGAAAAAGTGAGAGGGAGGTAGGGGGAGGGAGAGAGAGGGAAACATCGATGTGAGAGAGGCACATCCATTGGTTGCCTCCCATTCAACCTCGACAGGCCAGAGATCGAACCTACAACCCTTCAGTCCATAGGCTGACGCTCTGACCACTGAGCCAGGGCCTAGCTTATTATTTTTTAATTTAATTTTGTGTTTTTCTCATAGTTTCTTTTTCTTCTTTTTTTTTTTCCATTTCTTTTTTTTTTTTTTTAAGCTTCTTACATTTAGGTTATTGGTTTTATTTATTTTCCAATAAATTTCTTACAGATAAACAATGTCAATGGCAGTTATCAGTGTTCACTTCTACGTAATTTTTTTAGTCTCTAAGCAGTGATTCTCCTCCGGGCTCTGAGGTGCGCCTGGAGGAGTCAGAGCCTAGTGTGACCGCTTGCTGGGAGCTGGAAGAGCCCTGAGCTCTAGCAGGCTGTCCTCCCAGACTGTCAGGGCACGAGGGAGACCTCTTCCGAGCTGCTGGTGGCTCTGTCCTGGGCCTAGCCCATGCTCAGTGTTTGTCCATTTGGATAACATAATATGCTTTCCAAAATTCTTATTTAAAACGTTTAATAGGCCCTGAAACACAGCTTTTAAGCTTCAGAACTTGACCTATGATTCTATGTCCACTTGGTTTAATTACACTTTCATCTGACATCGTCATGGTGGCCAGGGGGTCGTTTGTTTCCTTCCTTCTCCCACCTGCCCCACCCGGCGGGCAAGACGAGCCCCTGAGATCGAAGCACAGACTCGGTTGGGCTATGGGCCTGTATGTATTAAGAGAATCCAGCCCTGGCCAGTTTGGCTCAGCGGTTAGAGCATCGGCCCATGGACCAGAGAGTCCCAGGTTCGATTCTGGCCAAAGGCACGTACCCCGGTTGGGGTCGCACAGGTGGCAACCAGTTGATGTGTCTCTCACATCGATGTTTCTCTCTCCCTCCTACTCTGTCTGAAGATAAATGTAAAAGTATCCTCAGGTGAGGATTTAAAAAAAAAAGAAAAATCCAGGCCATTTAATTCACATGAGATACTATTTGGAAAGCCATTTTAAAAATTCTCTCCTGAGCCCTGGCCGGTTTGGCTCAGCGGTTAGAGCGTCAGCCTGCGGTCCAGAGAGTCCCGGGTTCGGTTCCCACTGAGAGCACGTACCTTGGTTGCAGTTTGTCCCTGGCCCTGGTTGGTCGTGCGGGTGGCAGCCAGTCGATGTGTCCCTTTATATCGATGTTTTTCTCCCTCTCTCTTCCTCTCTCTCCCTCCCACTCTACCTGGACAAAAAATGGAAAAATGTCCTTGGATGAGGATAAAAAAAAAAAAATTCTGTCCTGAGAGTACATGACCTAAAAATAACTGGTACTTTTTTATGTACATGTTGAATACATTTAAAGTTCACATAGGATATGGGTTTTGAAAGCATATTGTTTTGCTTCTACATTAGTAAAGAAAACTAATCTAGAAGGTTCCCCCCAGTCCAGAAACCCTAGATTCTAGAGTCCCTGGTTGGAGTTGCAGCCTGGTTGGCTGTGCGACCACGGTGTGGCGCGTGGCGCTCCGAGGAGGAGACGCTGCGGTATCGTGCAGGGCGGCCAGAGGGCTCTGACGTGTGTGTTCTCCCCGCAGCATTTCTGGGTTGAGAGTGGTGGGCGAGGCCCTGTCCCCCGCTTTTCACCTGCAGCTGGAGGAGAGCACGGGGTCGCGAGAGCAGGATGTCAAGCTGCTTCAGGAGATTGTCAGCCAGGTGAGTGTCCAGCTGTTCCCGTGGTTCTCCTTGCACTGCTCCTCCGAGCCGTCTGTGCCCCTCTTCACAAAGCTCCCTGCCCTGGGAGAGGGCGCAGCGGACTCGCCGGAGCCAGCCGGGTCCCGGTGCGCTGTCAGCAGAGCTCACCGCCGGGTCTGCCTGCCGACCAGAGGTGGCGTGTGCCCCGCTCTCAGAGTGCAGCACACTCCGCCCCTGCAGCGTTTCACGGGCCTTCAGAGCACCCTTTGCTTGCCGGTCACAACTCTCTCCCGTGCGGTGGAGGCGGCGCTGTGTGTTGTGACCCCACATAATACTGGACAGGGACTGTCGGGGTGAACCCCAACAGAGCTCAGAAATGGGCCTCAGAGATCTTGTAACCAGAAAGGAAGGAGGACCACTCTGTATCGATGCCTGATTCGGGAGATCAGTCTTTATCGTCTGAAAGTGAGTTTACAGCTAATTGTAACTCAGTCACGAACCAGGAGATGCTCCCCAGGGAGACCGCTTGCCTTTCCTCTCCGGCGGAGCTTCTCTTGGAGCCCCGCCCGGCTGGCCGTGCTGCCTGCCCCGGGGAACTGCCGTGGCCCCGCAGCTCTGGGAGCCATGTGCCGTCACTCACGGCTGCGTCTGCTCCTCGACCTGCTGGCTCCTGTGGGCCTTTCCTTCTGGAGGCTGCTCCCTGGGTCCTCACTGGCCAGCATCGGGCCCTTTGCCCGGCTGTGGCCCAGGATGTCAGGCCGCTTAGTGTGGGGGCCACAGTGGAGGCCAGCCTCAGGCTGCTCAGCTGCCTTCAGGTGCCCTGTGCCCTGCGGGCATGAGCCTGTCGCCTAGAGAAACGGGCTCCACACATCTGTGGTCCGTGCCTTCTGGGGTCGGTCCTCTTGGAAACCAAACGCTGACAGGTCCGGAATGGGAGGTCCTAATTAAGGAGATGTGTCAGATCATGCTAGAGGCACTGCAACCTTCTGAGTGAGATGTCACAGGTCCCTCTGGCAGACAGCTGTGCAGGCCTGAGGACACCGGCCCAGAGGGCAGGACCGTGGTGAGGAGATGTCACAGGTCCCTCGGGCAGACGGCTGTGCAGGCCTGAGGACACCGGCCCAGAGGGCAGGACCGTGGTGAGGAGATGTCACAGGTCCCTCTGGCAGACGGCTGTGCAGGCCTGAGGACACCGGCCCAGAGGGCAGGACCGTGGTGAGGAGATGTCACAGGTCCCTCGAGCAGACGGCTGTGCAGGCCTGAGGACACCGGCCCAGAGGGCAGGACCGTAGTGAGAAGATGTCACAGGTCCCTCTGGCAGACAGCTGTGCAGGCCTGAGGACACCGGCCCTGAGGGCAGGACTGCAGCCCGGCACCACCTGGGTGGTCAGTGTGATGTCACCTGGATGTGTGTGGACAGAAGGCAGTGCAGCACCCGGCAAGGAGGGTTCTTACGCAGGCGTCATACCAGACCAGTTTATAACACACACGTAGGCTGAAGGCCAGGCCAGGAGGCCAGCTGTGGCCCGTCGCCTTCCTGTGCCAGCCTATTTCCCAGACTGGCCATGGGCCTGGCAGATGCCGCTGGGCGGGCAGGCCCGTGACGCTGCGTGCCCTGCTGGAGTCTGCAGTGGCACCGCTCTGCACGCGTGCACGACGTGGGCCTCCTCTGGATGTGGTGCGAGCCCTCTTAGCCCACCTGTGCGCACTCGCTGCGCAGCCGCGGTCAGCTCTCACTGCCGCCTGTGCAGAAGGGACAGACAAGGGCCAGTGAGGGACGTGACGGCACGAACACCCTGCTCCTCGCGGAGGTGACCCGTGGGGGAAGAGCGCGGGAAGGCCCCAGCCCTGTCTGCGGGCTGGCTCCGGGAACTCCAAGGCTGAAGGAGGGAAGCAGGCTAGCTGCGTGCTCGCGCATCGTCACAGCGCCCGTCCTGAAGCCCTGTCTCGTAGCTCACTGTTCCTTTGCGGTGCCTGCGGCAGGTGGAAGGGTCCTGGGCTGTGACGTGTCTATGCTTTGTAGAGCTGAGGTTTCGTCAAGTTGTTTTGAGGAGTCTTGGCATAAACTGAGTGATGGTTCACACCGCTCCTGAACAAGCCAGGCTAGAGCAGCCTGTGCAGCCGAGCTCGGGAGTGGGCCTCTCGGTGGGCACCCTTCCTGACGCAGAGCCCTGCCCTGCCCCACACACATGGCGCCACCGCTCTCTGTGCCGCCCGTACTGGTCAGTCCTTTAAACATGGCTCACAGGCCATGAAAGTCACTGTTTTAAAGTGTACAGTTGAGCCCTGGCCGGTTTGGCTCAGCGTTTAGAGCGTTGGCCTGCAGTCCAGAGAGACCCAGGTTCGGTTCCCGCTAAGGGCATGTACCTCGGTTGCGGTTTGTCCCCGGCCCTGGTTGGGTCATGCAGGAGGCAGCCACTCGATGTGTCCCTTTCATATCAGTATTTCTCTCTTTTCCTCTCTCCCCCTACCGATCTGTCTGAACAAAAAATGAAAAAATGTCCTCGGGTGAGGATAAAAAAATAAATAAAAAATAAAGTGTACAGTTGAGACGTGTTTCGTATACTCACAAGGTTCTGCGACTGTCACCAACTTCAGACGTTCTCGTCAACCCAAGAAGAAAGCACCGTGACACACTCCCATCATCGGGTCTTTATTTCGGTAGAGAATGCTTTAAGCTCTGAAAATGTCAGCGGGCGAGCGAGGGCTGGGAGCGCACGGGTGTGTGGCCGCACGGGTGTGCTGGGGCCCGGGTGCATGGGCAGACGGGTCGGGCGCCGCCAGCCTGGGAGGTGTGAGCGTCCCTCTGGAGCCTGCCGGTGCCCGTCCTGAGTGGTTGTCTTCAGGGCTCTGCTGCTGCGTCCCCATGCCCTAGTCCGCTCGGTCTGCAGTGACAGCTGCCAGCACCTGCGGCTGTTTCCATTTAAACTGAGCAGAACAGGAGCTCGGTGTCCGTGGCACTGGCGGCTCAGTGCCTGACAGCCCTGGCAGACGGTCCGTCCCGGGAGCTGTGTGGGCGGTGCCCTGGAGAGCTCCTGCCGTGTGGTTCCGTCTCTCCTCGCAGCCCTGACCGCATGTCTGCAGCCGCCTGACCTGCCCCTTTCCTCCCACAGTGCATGGACAGAGGCATCGCGCTCACACGGGCCCGCTACCTGGAGAGAGAAGAGAGGTGCCTCCCTCCTCCAAGGTTGGTGGACGTCGAGGGCAGCCTCACTTCTGTGCTCCTGCTTTTAAAGTCTGGGTGGAGTGTGTCATGTTTTGAAAGTTTTTGAAAGGCTGTCACAGGGCAAGGACGAAGGTCTGTCTAAAATAGAGTACATCAACTGTGGTTCATTCTTAAATCAGATATTTTCAGGTTTTAACTGAAAATCCCACAGGATTCACGGTGTGCTCTTAATGGACTGAGACAAATGTCAGAAGGAAGGGAGATAGCGGAAGTTTTGGTCAGCGAACACCCCCCCCTCCACCCCGTGCCCTGAGACAGCACACAGTGTGTGGCAGTCCCCACCGCAAGGACGTATGCTGGCTGGGGTGGGGACCGCAAGGTGCAGGAACCTGCATGGGGACGTGCCCGGGCCGCCCTCTGTGTGCTCACAGTGCAGTGGAGAGGGGACCCTGAAGTGTGGTCTTGGCAGGTATGCAGCACCGTGAGGTCCCGGGGTGGGCCGGTGAGCAGCAGCAGGCCAGCCCCGGGACAGCCACGTCCCTGTGGCATTTCAGGCACAGAAGGTGCAGGCTGACCTGCGGCCCTGCTGTGTCCCCTCTCTTGCAGCATCAGGGTCGTGGTCACAGTGGAGCAGACAGAAGAGGAGCTGGAGAAAGCTGCGTCCACCATCAAGGAGGTCGCCCAGGCCGTCCTGCTGTGACCTCTCCGGGCCGGGCCACCGCGTAGCCAGAGGGCTCCGTGCTGCTGAGGTGAACGGCCAAAGGCCTGCGGGGACTGAGACTGCGTCTCCCGGGGTGGCTTGCGTGACCAAGACGATGCTGGTTGTTTTTACAAAGAAAACATCAGAAAGCCCAGAACTGATTGTTTTTTAAAGGAAAACTAATGACAGCATAACTGGTGTTTAAATTGCTGTTCAGTGCTGTTTAAATGTTTCATTAGACTGCTACTTTGTATTCTTTTCGTTGTTGTCATCGTTTAATCGTGGAGGTTCCCTGTGTCTTCTCTCCCTTCTAGGGCAGATTCTGTGAGCGCTGCAGGTTTCATGGGGAGCGACTGCGCCGTTGGGCTGAGGGGAGCCCTGCGCAGAGCACCGCACAGCCCTCCTGGGCCCTCCGTGCGCACGTGCGGAGCTCCGTGGTGCCGACAGGCGGGGTATTTCTTACACACTTGTCATTCATAGACACGAAATACTGCTGTTACACCACTTCCACCACTAATCTTCGCCTCTCAGACCAGAGAGTAGTCATTAGACTTCCTACGTGAGCAGTAATGTAAATCAGACACTATTCTCTTCTGTTCTAACAGAATTAACCTTGCTGTTTTCTATGAGTAGACCTCGTGTGTTTCAGGAGGGCTACTGTGATGACCCCAGAGTATGGCCATGTTCTCGGTATCAGAGCATCTCCAGTGTCCTTCTCTGGGCAGCGGGCCTGCCGAGGGCCGTGGGACCGCAGGCTTTTCTAAGCCAAGGAAAGGAGGGTTTCTTTCAGCTCATTAATTCCAAATATCCAAAACTGATGTAAAGCACTAAAAACAAACATGTCAAGCTGTACGTCAGCTGCTTTTTCCTCAGCAACCTGAGTTAGGGGTGTCAGTGTGACGGCCACACATTCTGCATAAATGTCACAACCATTTTTTTCCTCTTATTGAAGGTAAAGGAATAAAATTGTAAAAATGTCACTTTTATAGTTTGTGTTCCCCATCTTTTGAAATAACGCTTTTTTATGCTTGGTTTCTATTTTGATTGAGTCATTTCAGACACCTGCCTTGTGACTGCCGCTGCCTAAAGGCTCCATTCTGCGGGCTAGATCTGTGTGGTTTGCTTTTCATGAAGATAAACTCACATTCCTGCTAGTCTGTTTGTGTGAGTAATGTACTCAACAGGATAGGCCCTTGACTTAACTTTTTTACACATCTGGGTGGTGTTGGTGGGGCTGGGGAGGCAGAAGAGGCATGTAGTACAACAGTGTATGCAGCATCAGACGTTTCCTAGTCCCTACTCGGGTAGGCCTTGGCCGCAGAGAACCACACAGTACCCGAGCCAGTGTTATAAATGATGAGGACAGGAACTTTTCAGCTACTTTCACACATTCTAAGTCAAAAAAGCCACATCTAGATTTTTATTGCTACTTATTTTTTTTAATCCTCACCCAAGGATACTTTTTTCCATTTTCTTCAGATAGGGAGAGACAAACATCAACTTGAGAGAGACACATCGACTAGTTGCTCCCTCACGACCCCAACCAGGGCCAGGGACCAAACCGCAAGCAAGGTACGTGCCCTTAACTGGATTCGAACCCGGGACTCTTTGGTCTGGGGGCTAACGCTCTCCTGCTGAGCCAAACCAGCCAGGGCAACTTTTAAAAGTGATTGCAAATTCCTGGGAAAGATGGTAGAATAATACATTATTTAACTTTAATCCTTGAAAAATGCTGACATTTTAAACAAAAATAGCCCTGGCCGATTTGGCTCAGCAGTTAAGAGTGTTGGCCCATGGAACAATGAGTCACAGGTTTGATTCAGGTCAAGAACACGTACCTCGGTGGCTGTTGGTCCTCAGCCCTGGTCAGAGTCATGCGGGAGGCAACCAGTCGATGTGTCTCTCTCATATTAATGTTTTTCTCTCTCCCCCGCTCCCACTCTATCTGATGATAAATAGAAAAATATCCTCATGTAAGGATTAAAAATATAATAATAACAAAAAACAATGTCTTTTATTGAAATTGTACAATGACCCATCTTGGGGGAATGAAGCAGCCCATAGATGCTATCTGGATCATCCCCATATGATGCATTTAACAAATTTCAAGGCAATTATTACAGGTATTTAAAAGTATGAGAAACCATGTTTATAAAAATAAAGGAAATTATGACAATAATGAATCATTCGCAAAGAAAAATTATTTTAAAAGAGTAACATGGAAATTCTGGAGTTGAAAAATAAGAAAAAATTCACTAAGAGGGTCACCACAGAGAATCAGTAGTTTGAAGGTAGATAACAACCCACCTGAAGAGAAGAGAACACAATGATGGAGTGAACAGAGCCGCAGACACCTGCGGGGCACTGTCAAGCACCCCAGCATGTTTGTGTGGGAGAGGCAGAAGAGAGAGAAAAGAGGGACAAACATATATTTGAAGGAGTAATGTCCCATACCTTCCCAAATTTTATTTTAAAAATAAATCTACACATTGAAAAATTTCACAGACAGAAAGCAAGATACACTCAGAGATTCACATCTAGATACGCCATAGTCAAAATGTTGAAAGACATAGGGAACCTTGAAAGCAGCCAGAGAAAAGGGGCTCACCATGTACAAGGGAGCACTGACTTCCCATGGGATAGTGGAAGTCAGAACGCGGTGCAAAGACCTTTGAGCCCTGGCCAGTTTGGCTCAGCGGTTAGCATGTCAGCCTGCGGACCAGAGAGACCCAGGTTCAGTTCCCGCTAAGGGCACATACCTCGGTTGCAGTTTGTCCCTGGCCCTGGTTGGGGTTGTGTGGGTGGCAACCACTTGATGTGTCCCTTTCACATCGATGTTTCTCTCTCCTCCTCCCACTCCCCCTTCCACACTATCTGAAAATAAATGCAAAAATGTCCTCAGATGAGGATAAAAAAAAAAAAGTAAAATAAAAGTACACGCACACACACAAGACTTTTGAGGTCCTAGGAAGAAAAAAACTGTCAACCAAGAATTCTGTGTTGGCAAAATAGTCCTTAAAAAATAGAAGTGAAGCAAGAAACTCCCAGAACGAAGACAGAGAATGCATTGCTAGCACGCATGCCTCACAAGAAATGCTGAAGGACGTTCTTCCGGCTGAAAGGAAGTGACAGCGGACAGGGACTCATCTGCAGGAAGAAATGAAGATCTCCAGAAATGGTAAATGTGTGAGTAGATTTTTAAAACTATATATTTCCCATTTTTTTCCTTTACTCTTTTAAAAGATATGAGCGTGGCTGATTTGGCTCAACAGTTAGAGCATTGTCCCGTCGACGGAAGAGTTGGTTTGATTCCTAGTCAAGGGCACATACCTCCTTTGCAGGTTTGGTCCCTGGCCCTGGTCAGGGTCGTGCAGGGGGAAACTAATCAGTGTGTTTCTTTCACGTCAGTATTTCTCTCCCTCTCCCTCCTTTCCACTCTATGGGAAAAGGTCCTCAGGTGAGTATTAAAAAAATTGTGTTAGATAAATAAAAGATATGAGTGTGTAGAGCAATAATTACAACACTGCTTTGGGGAGTTTAAAGCATAGATACCTAATATATGTGGTAATGATACCACAGAGAAATAGGGGATAAAAAGAGAAAAGCTTTGTATTTTACCGAGTCGGGTAACTACTATTCTAAAATTAAAGTGCACGTCGTAATCAATAGAGCAAACAAAAAGAAAATAACAAAGTATAATAAAAATTATAGGAATTGAAATAGTAAGCCGGAAGATATTTAACAGAAAAGAATATGATAAAGGAGCAATGGGGGTACAAAATGATACAAAACAAATAGTAAAAACTCAGCTATATCAGGAATCCCATTAAAATGTGAATGGACTAAACATTTCATTCAAAAGTTTGTTAGACTGAATTGAAAAACAACTGATGTGTACAAAAGACACTATATATTCAAGACTAAAGTGGGTAGAAAGTAAAGGGATGAAAAGTATTATGCTATGCAGACAGGAACTGTAAGAGATCTGGGTAGTCTGTATTAATATTAGAAAAATAATGGACTCCAAGACAAGAAATGTTACTATAAATGGAGACACTTCAGAATGATAAAAGGGTCAATATATAAAGAAAATATAACAATTATAAGTATATATGTTGCTAAAAACAGTGCTAAACTATATGAAGTAAAACTGACATAATTGAAAGGAGAAATAGATAATTTAATAATAATTGGGAAGAAACATCTGTAACAAAAATAATTTTAAAAATAATAATAATAATGATAATTGGAGATTTGAATGGCCCACCATAAATAATTGATAGAACAGCCAGAATGAAAATTAGGGTATTAAAGATTTGAATAACACTATCAATCAACTTCAACAAACAGTGCTGAACACGCCACAGATTTCAAAGTTTTTTCAACTGCATGTGAAACAGCCTCCAACATAAAGCACATGCTGGTCCATAAAACAAGTCTCAATTTAAAGACATTGAAATCATTAAAAAAAAAGAAAAATCTGTCTACAACACAATTGAATCAGAGATCCACAATAGAAACAAAGTTGGGGAAAAAAAATCAAATATCTGTTAATTAACTAGCATATGTCTAAATAATTCATGGATCAAAGAAGAATTACAAAGGAAAAAATTTTTAATGTTCTGAACTGAATAAATTAAATACATCACAATGCCTATGACCCAGCTAAAGCTGTGGTAAGAAGGGTTATAGGTTTGAATACCTGCATCAGAAAAGAAGGCAGGTTTCCAATCAATAACCTAAGCTTCCACCTTAAAAACTAGAAAAAGAGCAAGCTGAACCCAAAGTAAGCCAAAGGAAGGAAATAATGATTAGAGAGGAAAGCAACAAAATAGAAAACAGTAAAAACAGCAGATCGCAAGAAGGCTACAAAGGAAGCTTCATCAGCTTACTCCCAACACCGGACTTGAGGCTAAACTGCAGAGCGTACAGCTTGAAAAACCAGCTGAAGTGTAGCTGATCTGAAATAATGTGAGCAGGAAGTGAGAAACAGGAGGAGATGCTCAGAGGGGGAGCCACCTTGCCTCATATGCACAGCTAGGAGCTGAAGGGAAAGTGTGGCAGCAGAACCCCACCTCCTGGGAATGTGGGACCAGTCCCACACAGGGATCCCCAGTCCAGAGCAACAGAGAAAGGAAAGAGCCTGTGTAGCATTGGGTGGTGGAATCAGTAGGAATTCTGCAAAATAACAGGATACAAAATTAACATCCAGAAATTGATGGCATTTTTATACACTAATAATGAACTCTCAGAAAGAGACTAGGAAAACAATTCCATTTACCATTACAACAAAAAAAATAAGATACCTAGGAATAAACTTAACTGAGGAGGTAAAAGACCTCTACTCGGAAATC